GTCTTAAAAATTCTTTAGAAATTCCAATTGTATACTAGATTCGTAGCTTTGAGGATTCGCGCAAAAATGTTTAGCATTTGTATTGAGACTGGTTAGTAGAGAATATTTCAATCCACATGCCTAATAAATTTGAGATGTAAAGAAATCTAGGGGATGATTGTATATAAATTGTACAGTAAATATCTCAATCAAAACTCAAATTTAACTCAACTTTAATTCAACTCCACTATCTTCAATATTATCAATATAATTAAATAATATCAATCAATCATTTTTACACATTACATCAACTTTAATTCACTATTCATCCACTAACATAATTTTAACTAACTACCACTTCCAATCATTTTTCTCTTACTTTACATCAAATCAACTCTAATTTTTTAATTAAAATATTATTTTAATATATCTACTAACAACTAACTGTACCACTTGTTTTTCAAACTTAACTACAGTTAAAAAAAAAAAACTAATTTTTTACTTGTTGAATTTATATTCAATCACCCCCTAGTAATTCCTAATATAGATTAATTCTCATGCATTGAAATCCTACATGCCACAATATCATGTTTTGTATTTAGGTTTGGATAAAAAAATTAGAATAAAGTTGTCTTGGAAAGTACCATATATAATTTTTTCTGTCATACATCATTGCTTCTCATCACTCTCTTTCATTACTTAATTTGTTTTGAATTTAAAGATCACACAAATTTTACTTTCCTTATTTCATTTTTTTTCATTTTAAATATCACATTGTTGACAACCGATTCGGTCCGGGCCGGATCGGATACTCAGCCCCTCCGGATCGAAACAAGAACCCGGTCTGATACCAAAGTGCCGAGCTGGACCGCGGATTAGAGAGGCGGGAAACCGCCTTGGGAACAGATTTTCAGCCCGGCGCCAGGCTCAGACCGGGTAGCCGCCGACCTGGAAGGGTGCCGGACAGGAAGGGGACTATTCGTAGTCTCATGAGCATCTACGAACGAAGCGCCGACCTGAAAGTATGAGGAGGCCGGCCAGGGACGACGCACGGGCCTCGATGAACATTAAAATATTCCCACTTGGGAGGTCATCATTGGACGATGGGACAGGTAATCATGGCCTAGCCCCCTACCAGCCAGCCTAAGTCAGCAAAGCCATCCAGCATTAAATGCCCCCCATGCTGGCATTTAATGCCCGTCAGGCAATGATTGGAGAAACCTCAAATCGCATTAAATAACCGTCAGACGGACGCCGAACTGCCTTGCCGAATTACTGTGCGACAAGACCAGTGAACAGTAGCTGAATATTGCCACATTAAAGACCACTATAAATAGCAGCTCATCTCATTTATTTTAGGTTGTTGAAATTGAATTAACTCTACCTTCTCTCTACTTTCCCTCTCTAAAAGTTGTAAGAAACTCGCCGTAAGAATTGTAAGTATATCGCAAGTGCCGACCTCGTACGAGAGGCCGACCTCGTGATCGCCTAATAAAATCATAATTAAACCGAACCGTTCTCCCCCTTTTTTCAATGGTTCTCAACATTCTTTATTTTTAACCGTTGACCGAAAACGCTCGTCAACACACATGAATTTAATAATTGAGTTAACAATGGATCTTTTATTTGACAATGGATCAATGTCGAGTTTACAATATTTTATTTATTTTATAATTGAGTTAATAATGATATATTTGATAGTTAATTTCTTTTATACTAGTGTATATCCCCCGCGATGCATGGAGGATCTCATATTTTAAACTTTTTTTTAGACTTTGTTTTAAATATCTTTATATTTTTACATCTCATCTTTTATGTAAATAAAATAAATACAAAAACAATGAAAAATATATTATTAAAAACTTCTCTTTGTACAATATTTTTTAATTAAGGAATATTATTAAACTTTAAAGTTTTGATTTTTTTTAAATCGATTACCTAGTATATGATTTTTAATGTACAAAAAATAATAGAAAGAATCCAGACTTTAATGTAAAGTTACTTTTGTTTTTTTACAAATCAAGATCATCCAATTTTTTTAATTTAAAAAAATTTGACAAGTTTGTTAAAGAGATAAATCAAGTTATACAAATGACTAATTAGGTAAAATATTATATTAATTTTATTTAAAAAATTCGATTGTATAAATGTGGATAAAAATATTATACTAATTGACTTGTTAGGAATGTGATTATATGGAAGTTAAGATAAAATGAAACGTAACCAAAAAATTTGTTCGTAGTTTTTTTTCCTTTAAATGTTTGAATTTCAAAATCTAATAATCAAATTCAGATTATACCACATAAGGAAAAAATAATTAATAATTTTTATGAATATATTTAAAATTAATTTTGGATTTCTATAGAGTAAATGATGAAATAATTTAAATTGGTCTTCAAAAAGTTTTTAAAGTGTTTAATATTCTGGTAAGTATACCCGTAAGTATAATTTTACTATTTTAATTTAAAAAAAAATTGGCAAGTTTGTTAATGAGATAAATTTAGACAAAAGATTAATTAGTTAACATATTATATTAATTATATTTTGAAAATTCCGTGTTAGATAAATGTAATTATATTAATTATTTCGTTAGGAGGTGATTATATAAAAGTTAAGATAAATGAAATATACCAAAAAATCTGCTTATAATCTTTTCCTTTAATGTTTGAATTTAAAAATGTAATAACCAAATTTAGATTATATCACGCAAGGAAAAGATAATAATAAACATTTATTAAAGAGATAAATCAATAATATTTATCACTTAAATAATAAATAATAAACATTTATCATTCAGATATTGTTTAACATTAAACATAAAAAATTCACTGATGATACATAAAAAAGATACAGATTTTAAATAAAAAAATGAATTTGAAAGGAGTTGCACATGATTATTAAATTGGTTAAAATATATTTTTTTCTAAATAATTGGATAAGGTTTGACATTAAACATCTAAAAATTAGCTGATTTTGTTAGAAATAAGATAGGATACGAATTAGAATTGATTTGAATATTTTATTTTTCTAAATAATTGGATAAATCTTGACATTAAACACATAAAAATTAGCTGATTTTGTTAGGAAGGTGATTATATAGAAGTTAAGATAAAATAAAATGTACTCAAACAATCTTCTTATGATCTTTTCCTTTAAATGTTTGAATTTAAAAATCTAATAACCAAATTTAGATTATATCACGTAACGAAAACATAAATAATAAACATTTATTAAAGAGATAAACCAATAATATTTATCACTTAGATAATAAATAATAAATATTTATCACCCAGATATTCTTTGACATTAAACATAAAAAATTTAACTGATGATACAAAAAATAAAGATCAGATTTAAAAAAAATATAAATTTGAAAGGAGTTGCACATGATTTTTAAATTGATTTGAATATATTTTTTTCTAAATAATTGGATAAGTTTTGACATTAAACACCTAAAAATTAGTTGATTTGTTAGAAATAAGATAGGATACGAATTAGAATTGATTTGAATTTTTTTCTCTAAATAATTGGATAAGTCTTGACATTAAACACCTAAAAATTAGTTGATTTTGTTTGGAAGGTGATTATATGGAAGTTAAGATAAAATGGAATGTACCCGAAAAATCTTCTTATGATTTGAAAATCTAAAAATCAAATTTAGATTATATCACGTAAGGAAAAAATAATTAATATTTATTAAAGAGATAAATCAATAATATTTATCACTTAGATAATAAATAATAATCATTTATCAGTCAGATATTATTTGACATTAAACATAAAAAATTAACTGATGATAACAAAAAAAAAAAATAGATACGGATTTGAGAAAAGTACGAATTTGAAAGGAGTTGCACATGATTTTCAAATTGATTTGAATATATTTTTTTCTAAATAATTGGATAAGTTTTAACATTAAACACCTAAAAATTAGCTGATTTTGTTAAAAATAAAATAGGATACGAATTAGAATTGATTTGAAAATATTTTTTTTCTAAATAATTGGATAAGTCTTGACATTGAACACCTATAAATTAGCTGATTTTGTTAGCAACATTATAGGATACGAATTGATGGTAAAATCTCAATTGTTTCAAAATATTGATTGCACATGTTTTTTTTTTTAATTCTTATAATAGTAAGTCAACTTATTTATTTTTTTAGTCAACTTACTATTTCAATAATTATTCAAAAACCTCTTTATATTACTATAGATTCTTTTTATTGATAATTGAGTAAACTAACACCATATCTACATTAATTTGTTTACATTCTTTTATTTGATAATTGAACTAACAACGTTCTAAATTTTTGGCGAATATATGGTAACAAATTTCTTCACACTAAAATATCTTCAACTGAATTTGTAACGAGATTCTAACACAATATTGTAATAAGATTTCTTCATTTTAGATTCCAAAGGTCAAGATATTTTGAGTTCTCTTGGGCTGTTCAAGTGTCCTGCAATAACATATATAGTTTCACTGCCACCTTAATACAACAACAACAACAACATAGCCTTTTAGTCCCAAGCAAGTTGGGGTAGGATAGAGATGAAACCCAAGAGAACCAAGGGTAAGAGAAACACAAAAAGGGCTCAAAACAAAGGGAAGAAATTGGAGCAAAAGAGAAAGGAACAAAAGTCACGGTTCTGGCACGTTGATTGCTAGCCTCCAAGCGCTTCTATCCACCGCTAAATGCTTGGAGATATTTCAATCTTTATGGTCTCTCTTAACCGACTCTTCCCAAGTAAGTTTAGGCGACCTCTATCTCTCTTTCACTGCGCCTTAATCATGAATTTATTTGGTTTTTATTTATGGGATTTAAATTGGAAATGATTCCTTTATAAAAGAACATTGTAATGTAAAAGGCACCCCACCAAAAGAATCAAGAATGGCCAACAGCAAACAGAACATTGAGGATGAACAAGAGTAACTTGTCCATTAACAACATCGCACATGAGTAAAAAAAAGTGCCATGGATTACAAAATTAAATAAATAAACAAATTAATACAAGTCATTTATTCAGATCTCCTCATTTTTACATTGATAGGTCTTTCCTTGTATGATTGAACCTTTCCGGCAGCTTTGCGCATGGGCCGTGCGAATGATCTTCGTGCTTCGACTTCTGTTTCTGTGTCTGACGTAACTGGGGCCGTAACTGGAAATCTGGCATCAATAATCTCAGAAAAATGCTCCATTCGTTCTTCGTGTCTGATCCTCGAAAAACCAGATTGCCTTCTTACACACCGTCTATTATAAGTACCAAAACATCATATTTTAACAAACTATATGGGAATATACATATGCCTAAGAGAAGTTAGTCTGTGCTTTGGCAGTTAAAAAATAAAACCTTTTGCTTAGAGCAGCCTCCTTTTCAGCATGATGGTTACTTTTCTTCAAGCTGCCCAAAGCTGCGTTATTATTTAACGGTGATTAATAACGAACTAAATAATAGAAATCATAGATATACAAATAAAATAGAATATAAAAAGAAGGAAAAAAGACGATGCCGATCACGAATATATATATTATTAAGTACATCGACTTGTGGATATATGGCGCCTCATGCCGGCATTGCAACACTTTGTGTCCTCGTTATCCATAGATTCCTCATTTACGGCCTCCGATTCCTTTACACATATAAAAAAGTATTGCACACAATGAATAAAGACACAAGTTTTTATCTTTCTTATTTTTTTTTCAAGTATTCTCTCTTCATCACCAAAAACGAGCCAAGTCGTTATGAAAATTAAGCATTCGAACCTGAAATTCAGTTCTCCGAATGTTCATTTCCACTTTGCCCTGAAAGAAAGTCGAGATCAGCGACATTTGAAAAACCCAATAACAATCACCATACAAAGCAGAATGATATTATTAATCACTTACTATTAAGCAATATGTGAAGTAAAATTTTTGCACCTCTTTTACACAATCACTCTTGCTCGTTTTTCACTACCTTATGTAAAAATTACACCGGCATCTGTAATAGACAGCGAATAATAGGTGCGCTTTATTTTATTTATTCACCTTGGACGATGAATTCTTCGTTTTCAGAAGCGCTTCTTTACACGCGACCTCATGGTGCAATGCTTTCATCTGTAACAAACGAAATTGGTTCGGTTTTGTTAGCATAGAAAAGCTACATCATCGTCAAAAACAACACAATCAAAATCTCCGATTCGAAAAGGCTTGCTTACCCTTTCTCTTCCCATATTAAGTTCCTGCAAAAACAAAAAAAGGCGAACTTCAGTAAAAAAAAGAACGATGAATTATCGGCATAGGTCAAAATAGTCGAAAGGGAAATAAACGAAAACCCGACCGCTAACATATGACTGTTTGATTGCGCAAGGCTCCAATTTTGCAGCTGCATCTTCTGAACACATGCCCTCAAATGCTGAATCTCATTTCCACTCAATTCTATGATTTTACTGCATCATAACCAAGTTTTTCAATTCAACTACAAACTAAGTAATCTTAGCAAGAAACAAAGGAACACAATATGAGCAATAAACAAACAGTTACTTCTTGTCTTGAATAAGCTTCACCAAGGCCATTTTTTCCTGTAAAAAGAGTAAAATCTGAGACATAAATCTATGAAAAGAAACATAAACAAAAATGAGAAAACTTTGAAATGTACCTTAACAAGATGGTCAATGTAATCCTTAGCAGACGCAAAGTCGGCCACCGGATTTTCCGGAAACGACGAAGATTTAGTCTGCGGTGGCTGAAAATTAGTGATGTCCGAAAGTCTTTTTCTCACCATGTTCCCAAAGGAGGACCTTCTAGCCATCTTACCCCCTTTCATTTTTCCGCTCTGCAATTCAACTAATCCCACTGAATTTTGCACTTGAAATTCAAGAAACTCAAAAGGGGTATTCAAGAAAACACGAAAGAAACCCCGAAAACGGCAGAACGCAGAGATTTGATTTAAAGATTGGTTTTTTTACATGAAGAGGGCGACGAAAAAGGCGAGATTCGTTCAAACTGGAAACGTGAACTTCACGACATGGGGGATCCCGCGTTCGAGCAAAAAAGATTGGAGATTTAGGAAAAGCAGAAAAAGAGGAGAAGGAGAAAGCAAAAGATGAAGAAGGTATAGAGAAAGAAGGAATTTGAATATTATTTTTTCAAGGATGCAACGGCTTTCCGAGCCGAAGCGTTTTGGAGGTTTTGAAAGTTTACGAGCCTAAAGTTTCCGAAGCTGTGGTGTGGGCTCCGGACTAACATATGAATAAGGAAAGCTGAGGCCAAAATATAATAAAATAATAATAATAACACACTTTTTTATTTATTTATTTATTTTTTTTTTTTTTGGGAACAAAACCAACATACCAACTTCAAATGAGAGTACAGATCCTACCTGACCCAAAAAAAATGATAAAAACGACGGAAGACAATATCTATATCTATATAAATATAAAAAGGTTTGGTATTTACTTTAAATAGTAACTAAAATCCCGCCTAAATATTTCATTTGTACTTTTATTAGTAACGTTTTTAAAAATTTTGAAAATAGGCTGTCATTTTTTCAAATTTTAAATCAATTTAAAATCATTAAGTAAACAATTGTTGCTGCTATATTCATTTTTCCAAGATTTTAACTACTATAACAAAGGAAAGTTGCGGCTCCTTCATTTTTCCGAGATTTGAACTAATATCACAAAGAAAAGTATTAATTACTTTGCA